GAGGAGGAGGAGGAGGAAGAGATAAGGAATCTACTAAGGAGGAGGACCAGAAGGAGGATCGGGAGGAGGAGGAGGAGGAGGAGGAGGCGGAGGAAGGGGGAGGGCGGGAGGTCAAACCAGAGGAAAAGGGAGGAGGGATATGGGAGGCACGGTGAGGAGCCCATCCCTGCCTTCCATCCATCCACCGCTGCCGCCGTCGCTCACGAGGGCCGCTGCCCTGTGACCTGTACGCTACGCCCTGGTTTCCCCGCCTTCTGTTGCGCCTGCTGCTGAGCCTGCTGCTGCGCCTGCTGCTGCACCTGCTGCACCTGCTGCTGCACCTGCTTATGCTGCTTCTCTTTCTCCTTCTCTCTTGCTTGCTCCTGCACCTCCTTCCCCTCCTCCCCCTCCTCCCCCTCCTCCATCTCCTTCTCCTCCTCCTCCTCTTCTTCCTGCTTCTACTGCCGCATACTCGCGCGTGCTCCGAGCTGTTTCATGAACAATCCTTGCTGCGTAAGCAAACCCCTGATCAGGCGATCGCAAACATGGATCAAGGGGGCGTGGATTGGCGACGGGTCCCGTTTTCATGGGAGATCGCGGATTTCCGCCGCCGAACGAGGCGGCACCTGCCACACTTTGGGAAGGGCACCTCCCCCGATCCATGGATTTGGCGATCGCGCGCCACATCCATGGATCGCTAATCCATGTTTGCGCGCCCCCGACCTGAGCCCCCCCCCCCCCCAGACGGGGACGGGGACGGGGACGGGGATGAGGACGAGGGGGAGGAGGAGGAGAGGCGGGAGGGGTATGTTCCTGCACCCCGTCTGTGCCTTCCCCCCGGAGGCGAGGTCCTCCACCTGGTCGGATGGAGTCGAACGGGGCTTCCCCCCCCGAGCGCAGGGCTTTCCCCGTCCCCGTCACCCTGCCCGACGGTCCGTTCCACGATCTACCCCCCTACAGAGCGCAGAAACTCCCCGCCCACTGCACGACTCACGCACCCGCACGCTCCTCCAAGGGCAGCCCGGCCCAAGGGGGCCCCAGGACGGCCCAAGAGGGCTCCAAGAGGGCCCCGACCCCTAAGACGGCCCCCCTCCCTCCCGCATGGCCGACTGGGGACAGCCCTCGGGGGCCTGCCATCACTCCCGCCCGATCTTCTGGCCTCTGCTGGACTTGCGGCGCTGGAGGCACCCTCCAGCTCCAGCCCTGCGGGCCTTGCCGGGCCCTCCGTCAGTTTCGCCGCGGGCGGGGAGAGATCAGCCCTTCGGTCTCCTCGAGGCTTCGGACTTCGGAGGGCACCAGCTATGCACCTACACCGATCCTGGCCAGGCCGATACTGGGCCCAGGATCGGCATATGCGCCTTCTTGCCCACGCTAGGAGTGTGGGGGTATATTTAGCGTCCTCCCAAAGTTGGTCCCTTCCTGGAGCGCCCTGCGTCGACAAAGCAGCTTGGGTCTAGGCCTCCTAGATGGGGTCGGAGTAGATCGGGTCGGAGGATCGCGCCGCATCGCCGATGCATCGCCGATGCGGCTCGATGTAGGGCCCGAGTTGCTTCAGGTCGACGTCGCCAATGCATCGCCGACGTCGACGACGCATCGCCAGTGCATCGCCGATGCATCGCATCGCCAGTGCATCGCCGATGCATCGCCGATGCATCGCCGATGCCTCGCCGATGCATCGCCGATGCATCGCCGATGTATCGCCGATGCGGCGCGGTCCTCCGACACCATGCAGGAGGCCTCGATTGGGGGGGGGCCCTCGGCCTGGAGCTCTCCCCCGCCCTCCCCTCCCGCGCCCGAGGCGGAGGACAGCTCGGAGGAGCCACGGGGGCGAGGCCCGGGGCGCTCCCCCCGGCGGAGCCGGAGGGGACGAGGGTGAGGATGAGGGCCAGCGTAAACCTAAGCCTGGCATCGCTCGGACGTGTGCATTTGTCCTTCGGCGAGGACCATCGAGGAGCATCCGTGATCATTTGGCGAAAAAAACACGCACGAAACCGAAAAAAACACAGGAAATGGACGTCCGAGCGATGGCCAGTAAGACTGGGTGTCGTTTCTCCGATCCCCATCCCCATCCAGAATCCCCTTCGAGACCCCCACCAAATAACCCCCCCAGTTGGGGATACACCCCTGGAAACCCGAAGGGAACGGCCTGTATCCTCATCTAGGGGGGTAAATCGGCCGGTGGGGCCCAGGCCACGCCGCTGGGGATGGGGATCGGATAAACGATACTCGAAGGCGCATCAGCGATGTTGCAATAATCCCACCGTCCGAGTTCCCCACTCACTACAAGTGTTTGCTTTCCTTGCGGCAAGCGGCCCACTAGAAGCCAGGCGTCTGAGAATACCCAATCGTGCCGCAGCGCAACTCCTGGGACTTCAACGCCACGGATCAGCATGACTCCTGCGTCCGGACAGCCCCCAATCGCACCATAACGTCATTTCTGGGACTCTAATATGTGAATCAACATGGCTGTTATGTCTTGACAATCGTAATCCGTGCCAGAGCGCCATTCCTGTGACTTTACAAATACGAATACTTGAAACTGTTACAAACTTTGAAGACGACTGTGCGCGGCGCAGAAGTCGAGAGTCAAAATTTTGAAAACGGACTGCCCTCCACCAGTACAACGGTTGCACATTTTTAAGACAAATGTGCGCGGCGTTTAGGCGAGAGCGACATTTTGAAAAGGAAGCACCCTCCATATTTTTAAACTACTGCACACTTTTCAAACGGATGTGCGCGGCCCTCCGGGGACACGCAGCCACGTTTTGAAAACCACCTATTTTCCATCCTGGAAGCTGTTGCAAACTTTCAAAACGAATGTGCGCGACGCTAATGCAAGAGCGAGATTGTGGAAAGGAACCGCCCTCCACTTTTAAACTATTGCACTTTTCAAACGAACGTGCGCGGTGCCAGGGCGATACGTAACAAAGTTTTGGAAACCACATGTTCTCCATCCTGGAAGCTGTTATAAACTTTCAAGGCGCATGTGCGCGACGCAAATGGATAGCCACATTTCGAAAATCATCCGCCCTCCATTTGTGAAGCTGTTGAAACTCTCAAGCTTCAGGATTATAAATGGTGAGGAAGTCTCAGGCGAAACGACCGGCCCGTCCTACCGGCACGTCTGGGGGTGCGACAGGGAGGAGTTACTTACAAAGACGAGGGATGAAGGTGAATCAGGAGGAACCGGATGCAGAGGGTGATGAGGGGAGCAATAGAAAGTTGAGGCTTCTGTAGGCATCGTGGCGCCCCAGGACGCAGGCGCCCAGCCTTTCTCCGCCAGGGGCGCTGCCGCAATGCACGGGAGGCCGCGCGAGTCGTGGAACTCAGCCGGGTGGGGGGGCGACTCCCAGAATGTCGGCAACCACCTCGGCCCCGTGCCCAGCACGCGGGTCACGAAGCCGCCCGGGGGGGGCTCCTCCCTGAGCCTCAGCTGGGGCGACGCCCCCTGCGACCGCCCGGCGGCCCCCCCGCGGCGAGGCCCGCCGCCGGCGCCGCCGCCCGCCCGCCACCCGCCGGCGTCGCCCTCGGGCGCCTCCTCCCTCGGCCTGGCCTGGGACGGCCCGGGCGGCGACGAGCCTCGTGCGCGCGGCGGCCGCGCGCCGGCGCCTCGCGCCGAGGCCGCGGCACCGGGGCCCGCCGCGGGGGCCGCGGCGGCGGCGGGCGGCGGGGCCCTCCCGCGGCGGCCGCAGCGGCGGAGGAGGCGCCCGAGCGGACGCCACCGCCGAGCCCCGGGCCCCGCGCGGGGGGCGCGGAGGCGGAGGGCTGCGGCGGCCCCGCGCGCCGCCCGGACGGCGGCGGCGTCACGGGCCTGGGCGCCCGCGGCCGCGCGTCGTGCGACTGGGCTGGTTGCGCGGGGCGGCGCACGGGCGCCGGGCCGGGCGGGGAGCCCACGACGCCCGGCGGCAACTCGCAGATCATCTTCGGCGACGACCGCCCCGACGAGCCCGCTGGGCGGTGGGCCGCGCCGCGCGAGCCGCGCCCCGCCACGGCGGCCAGCAGCCCAGAGGGCTGGCGCGGGGCCGACATCGGCGGCAGGGAGGAGGTTCCCGGGTCGCGGCCGCGGACGCACCGCCCCGGCATCCGCATCCAGCAGCAGCCCGGGGGCGCCACGGCGTTCGGGCCAGCCTGGGCCGTGGCCTCGGACTTCGAGCAGAGGTCTCGGGCTGGGCTAAAGGGGGGATTTGGAAATATGCTGCATGCAGCTGGTTTCGGCCCCGCCGCTGGGCCCATTCCTCGATGCATGGGCGCCTCCCGGCGACGGGAGGCGCCGGGAGCATCAGCTGCGTGACACCTGATTCTCACCCCCCCGCCTTTGCTATCCCCCCCTTTCGCCCGGCCCGAAGGTCGCGCAAGTTCTTCCCGGAGGCCGGCGGCGCCGGCGCGAACCGCGACAAGGGCGCCATCGAGGCGCTGCGGTACTTCCAGGACAGCGACGAGGGGCTCGGCCGCGTCCGCACGGAGGGGGTGCAGCACTGGGTCGAGCCCCGCGCCCGAGACACGCACCGCTACCATCACGACGAGCCCACGGGGCGGGCGCGCGGGGCCCCCGGCGGCCAGGGTGCCTTCCCGCCCTCGCAGCAGCCCCGCCTCGGGGGCGGCTTCGAGGGGCCCCACGGCCTGCGCGGCGACTGTGCAGGGCAGGAGTCGTGGGACTGCGACAGCACCGTGTACCGCGACAGCGACCGCGGCGTGGAGCTGCCGTCTGGATCGGAGTACTCCGCGCGGCCCTTCTCGCGCAGCGGCGGCGCGGGCTTCTGACGCGCCTTGAGTCTGTTTTTCCCCGCGCCCTGCGGCGTGATCTGGGACGAGAGCGAGCGGAAGCCCTCGTCCCTCCCTGGGCCATTCACCACTGGAGGCCTGGACACTGGCACCACCGCCAGCACAGGGGGGTGCCTCGCAGAGGAGGAGGATGAGGATCCTTGCTTTTAGTATTGGCGGTTATCCTTCGGTCCCGAGAGAATCCCGCGTACCCATCGGTCGTTGAAAGTAGGTATTTTTGGGTTCCCAGAACCCAATCTACTTCAAGCGCCTTCCTACTTCAATAATCGATCTGGTTTGGCTGTTGTTTGTTATTCTTTGGGCGGGCCCGAACCCAATATACTTTATCCGCCCTCCTACTTCATATTCTTACCTACTTCTTTCGACCGACGCGTATTGCCACCATCACCGAGATCGGGACGATCTCCACTCGGTGGAGGCAACCGCCGATATATCGGTGTTTTGGTGCCAACCTCTGAGCCTCCCACATGATGGTCGGGAACTTGAGCTTAGCGTGTTGCGGTTGCGGCCCTGGCGACACGCTATTCCCAGACCCCTGACGTCATGTTTTTTCATAACGTCGACCCCCAGAGGTCTGGACCCCTTCCCCAGGACCGCTTTTTCGCCCCGTCTCGTCTTTTGACTGTCACGGGGCCCGGTTCATGACACGTCGAACAGAACAAAAACAACCTTCGCGAATGATCCACATACCAGAATGTGCCGCAAGCCGACCTTGGATTGAGATCGAGCTGGACTTCTGATCGGGCCTGGTTCTTTCTGTGCTCCTAGCGCACCGGCGCTCCGGCGCCGCACCCGCAGCACCCCCAGAACGTTCAGGAGGGAAAAAACACACAGACACAATTCATCGTCGATTCCCAGAAAACCTGGGAAAATATATGGGAAGTGGGGGGGGGGACGACGAAAACCCAGAAGACCTGGGAAAACATGGGGACTCCTGTTCGTTGTGTGCCTCTCTTTGTGTGTCCCGGGGCCCCTTCAATTAACGGGCGAAGAACGGTATACAATAAACTTTTTCGCTGTCGGGGGCGCCTGTCCCAGGGCGGCTGGAAAGTTTATACCCTTACGGTGGCACCGTAGGGGCATTAAACTCTCCAGCCGCCCAGGGACAGGCGCCTCCGACAGCGAAACAGTTTATTCTGTACCGCTCTTCGACCGTTAATTCAAGCGTGCCCATCTGCGGGCGTGTTCGTTCGTGCTCGCTCGAGGGGGGTCTGGGCTGCCTGCGCGCCGACGGCGTGCCGCCCCGCGTCGCGGGGCGGGAGGGGCGGCACGGGCAGGGCTCGGGGCGTGGGCGCGCGGGGGCCGGGGCGTGGACGCCGCGTGCGGCGCCGAGGCTTCAGTCGGGCCTGTCCCTCTACAGGGGGAGTATACATTATATATATATGTGTGTATATATACACACATATATATATATATATATATATATATATATATATTCTCAAACATAGGAAACACATTGTCAGAGAACTTTTTTTTGGGGGCAGTATTTTTGGCAATTTTGGGGCATTTCTGGAGAATTTTAATTTTTTCGTCGAAGATCCCCCTGCAGGGGGACACGCCCGACTCAACTCTTGGCGCTCGCTGAGATCTGACGCTGCGAAGACCGAGCATTTTCTCTGGGTGGAGGGCAAAGGGTGACATCTGAAACGCCGCTTCGCCGGCCTTTCGAGGCTGGAATCTGCAAAAGGTGATTCACGAGACGGATTGAGTTTCTCGAGGTGCAGAGGCCCATCTGGATTTCACCCTGGGCCCTCCACCCTAAGAAAATGCTCAGGAAGAGGACGCAGCGTCGGGAAAAATCACGACTGGGGTCCTTTCGGTGGCAAATCACGGGAGCCTCGTGTACCCTCGCAAGTGTGTCTTCAACGTCGATGGATCAGCGTCGATGGGCGTTTGGGAGTCGAGGAGATGGCGCCGACTCAGCGCCGGCTGGCGTCGGTGAGCGTCGATTCAGCGTCGATTCAGCGTCGGTCAGCGTCGATTCAGCGTCGACCCGCGTCGATTCGCAAGAGCCGACAAGATGGTCACCGCCGACCAAACCACCCGAACCCAACCCGAAGGCCTCCATTTGCCTTCCATTTCCAGTGGGGGTGGGGTGGGGTCGGGGAACATGGAAAAACACACGTGGGACCCGTCGTACACCCCCCCCCCGACCCGAAATTCGGGCCAACGTCGGGGTCGGGCAAGGGTGGCTTGGTGGGTCGTCAGATGGTACGGGAGGCTCCCCACGAGCTGCCACCGAGCGGGGCCCTGGGCCCCACCTTCCCGCGGCATCCTCGGGCGTCGGGTCGAGCCGCGGGGTGCCCCAGGGCCCCCTTTGGCTGGGCGCGCGCGCCCCGGGGGCGAACGGAGTTCAGGAGGGGAAAAAACACACAGGCACAAGTAATCGTCGATCCCCCAGAAAACATGGGAAACTGTGGGAAGTAGGGGGGGAGACAAACACCCAGAAAATATGGGAAAATATGGGGAAACTTGTTATTTGTGCGTATTTATTCAATTGAACGCCCCTGAGGGGGCAGACACCGCCGCCCCATTTTTTTTTGGAACGCGGAGGTTGCGTGGGGGGCAAATCGGGATGTAGCGGGGGTGGGAGACAGTGGGGTCTTAAAGGCTCCCAGACAGCCCCAAGAGAGCCAGACCATGACCCAAAAAGACGCCAGAAAGCCCTAAGAGAGTCTGACAATGATTTTAAAAAGGACGCCTGAGGGTGTGCAAAAGTGTGGACGAAAGGAAGAGGCATACGGAGAGGCGTACAAACGAGATCCCAGTTAGTTTGGGGGCCTCAAAAGGGACTCCGGGGACCCCTTGGGCGCGCCAAGGACGGCCCAAGAAAGCCCCAAAAATGTTGCCAGACGGCCCGGGCCGGGGTCGGGAGGCGTGGAGGACAGCCGCAGAGAGCGCCCGCTGATACGCACGTGAGCTCGAGACGAGGCAAGACTAGAGGCTCGACAAGGCCAGAATGGACATAATCATATGTGTTTTGCGAGGTTTTTTGCGTGTTGTTTTTTAGTAGTCGAAGTGGGCCGAGGAGAGGTGGGCGGGCTGCCAGACTGGACCAAAATGGCCTGGAGGACGGCCAAGATCGCCCCAGGAGTGCGTCTGGAGGCCTCCAAAATCGAGTCAGTGAGCTCCCGGAGAGGCCTCTGAGAGAGGCCGGCGGCGCCCTGAAGACGAACATTTCCAACGAGGTGTGTTCTGAAGCGAAAATGATGGCCAAAGAGCGCTCATTCCGCAGCTGTGGCCCCCGGGCCGGCGGAATGAGCAGGCCGCGGGGAGGACCCCAGGAGGGGTTGCAAGGGCTCTGAGTAATGGGTATTGGTACGAGGAATTCGTGTGCGCGCAGATTGAGGGGACTGAGTTCGTGCAGACCATGCGGCGGGGATCTCGCGCGCCGTTCCCGGTCAATCGCTTCGCTCACTCCGCCGGCCCATGTTGCATGATCGCTACTGCTTCGCCGTGGGCCCAGGGCCATCGTGGCGCCGCCGAGGAGGAATAATATGAGGATGGGGAAGGGGAGGGGAGGAGGAGGAGAGGATGAGAAGGAGGAGGAGGAGGATGAAGATAAGGAGGAGGAGGAGGACGAGGAGGAGGGAGGAGGAGGAGAGGAGGAGGAGGAGGAGGAGGAGGAGGAGGAGGAGGAGGAGGAGGAGGAGGAGAGAGGAGGAGGAGGAGGAGGAGGAGGAGGCGGAGGATGAGGAGGAGGAGGAGGAGGAGAGGAGGAGGAGGAGGAGGAGGAGGAAGAAGAAAAATAAGAAGAATAATAAGAAGAAGAAGAAGAAGAATAAGAAGAATAATAAGAAGAAGAAGAAGAAGAATAAGAAGAAGAAGAAGAATAATAAAAAGAATAAGAAGAATAAGAAAAATAATAAGAAGAATAAGAAGAAGAATAAGAAGAATAATAAGAAGAAGAATCAGAAGAAGAAGCAGAAGAATAATACTAATAATAATAAGAAGAATATTAAGAATAATAAGAAAACAAATGATAAGAATAAGAAGAATAATAAGAATACTAAGAAGAATACTAAGACTAATAAGAAGAATCATAATAATAAGAATAATAATAATAGTAATAATAATAAGAAGAATAAGAATAATAATAATAAGAATAATATTATTATTAATAATAATAACAATAATAAGAAAAAAGAATAATAATAATAATAAGAATAATAAGAATAATAATAAGAAGAAGAATAAGAATAATAATAATTAATAATAATAATAATAAGAATAAGAAGAATAAGAATAATAATAAGAATAATAAGAAGAATAAGAATAAGAATAATAATAAGAAGAAGAATAATAATAATAATAAGAAAAATAAGAAGAAGAGGAGGAGGAGGAGGAGGAGGAGGAGGAGGAGGAGGAGGAGGAAGGGGCGGAGGAGGAAACCTCTCGTTGGCATCTTGTGTTGCTCTTGGGGCCAAACAGGGTCGTCGTCAAGATGCTTCCTTGGGGGGCCTCTTGGGGTCTTTTGAGAAGCCGTTCGGGGGCGCCTGGGAGGCATTTTTGAAGCCTTCCGGGGGGCCCTCCTGGGGGCCTCCTGGGGCCTCTTGGGGGCCTCTTGGCGGCATCATGGGGCCTCTTGGGGGCCTCTCGGGGGCTCCTGGGGCCCTCTTGGGGCGGAAGGCGCGAGGTTTCGGTTCGTGGTCCGCCTCTTGGGCCCCTCTTGGGGCCGTCTTGGGGCCGTCTTGGGCCGTCTTGGGCGCCTCTTGGGCCGTCTCGGGGCCCTTGGGCCCTCTTGGGGCCCTCTTGGAAGCCTCTTGGCCCGTCTTGGGGCGCTCTTGGGGGCCTCTTGGGCCGTCTTGGAGCATCGGATGGCCGAAAAAGGGACAAGGCCTAAATCCTTCCACAACCATCGTACAAATTTAGGATTTTGGCGTCTCGGGGCCCTCTTGTGAGGCCTCTTGGAGGCCTCTTGGGCCGTCTTGGGGTCATCATCGGCGTCTTGGAGCGCTCTGTGGGCGTCCCGGGGGCCC